GCAGCTTTTCTTGTCAGACCTCACCACCACCATTTTTTCTTGCAGATCAATGTCCTCCGAAACCGCATCAGTGACCACCAGAAAGTGTAAGTGGCTGCACATCCCTCCTCCATCTCCTGTCCTTCCAGCTCCCTGCTCCCAGTTCCCTCCCTATGCATCTCCCTTGCTAAACCACCTCCTCCCCTTCCCTCTCCTGCCTCTGGTCTTGGTGGTGCCTGGCATTCCTGGACCTGCAGGTCTGTCCCAGGCATCTCAGTCCCTGCCCTTCTGCTCCTGACAGACCTCCATGGTCCCACTGTCACCAGCTGCCCCCTCCCCCGAGATCTTGGCAGGGGATGGACCCCAGGGAGAACCCACCTCTGCATGGGAGGCTTTGTGTCCTGTGGGGTTCTTCCAGTCTCCAGCCACCCCATCCCTGCAGGGGCTCTGCCCAGCATCTCAGGAAGCTGCTGGAGATCCCAGCTTGTCTAGCAGGGGAAGTCCCATGGGCTGTGGGATTTGTGCAGGCCCACAAGGCCAAGGGATCCTGTATCCGTGCCCATGGTCCCTGCCCGTGGCTGGGGAACCCCTCATAGGAGGGTGGAAGAGGCTGTTTAACCCCTACCCCCAGGAGCACCCCGGTGCTCTCACATCCCCATCCCACTTCCCCCTCATGTGGGAGGTGCTCAGCCCACCCTGTGTGTCAGGGGCAGCAGCTCCCACCCGCTTACACCACGTCTCTCTTTTCTCCTGCCCCACCATGGCATGATCCTGCAGCAAAGGGTGAGTACAGGCATTTCTGAGGGCTGTGTGTGTCCCTGCACAGGTGCTGTGTGTCCCTGCACAGGAGCTCTGTGTGTGTCCCCCTGCACAGGTGCTGTGTGTGTCCCACTCCATGTGTGTTGCAGGGACACCAGGACCCTAGGGCAGAAGCAGGGCTCAGGAATGAGGCAATCCCAAGGATTAGTAGCCAGAAATGCCTTTCACTGCCCACCCAAACCTCCTCCTCTGTGCTCCCCTGTGCTGGTTAAGGCGAGCGATGGGCTGGGTGCTGAAGGGTCCTGCAGCTGCTTTTATCCCTCTGCAGCTGCAGATGCAACTTGTCAGTTCTTCCTGGAGCGATTCTTGGGGGGGAGAAACATGGGAAGGAAATGGTGGGTCCTTAGAATCACCTGGCAACTGCATGAGCTTGTTCCCAGGGAGTCCCAAGACTCTTTGACTCAGGTCCCAAGGTTTACCTGGGCCAGTGGGGACCGTCGGCCCCAGGGCAGTTTCCAATGGGAAAAGGCTGCAGGATCACTGACAGCACCCACCTCATCCTCCCTGTGTGGTCACTGATGCCTTTTTGCATGTGCTGTTCCTCTTCCCTTGCAGATCCAAGGGTGCCCGTGGGAAGACCATGGTGGGCAGCCGATGGAAGTAGAGGCTCAGGGAGAGAGGAGGCCAAGCCTCAGGAGCTGCAGTGGCTGAACAGAGCCCTGGCTGCAGGAATGGGGGTTCTGGGGGGCAGAGGCCTCATGAGTGTCCACCATCTCCACCCCCCAGTGTTGTTTTGTCTGTAAATAAAGAGGTGGTGAGGGGGTGCAGGTGTGGTCTCCATCCTGAGGCTCTGATCCCAGAGGACACAGGCTCAGCACAGCTTGAGGAGTTGTCCACCTGCTCCCCAGGCTGTGAGAGGTCACAGCAACCACCCAGGACCCCCCAAGTAACTGTCCCTGTGCCTCCCAGCATCATCTCAGCTACAGTCCTTGGCAGGCTTGGTGACACACCTCCGTTGTCTGAGCTGCTTTTCCTGCTGCCCTTTGGGGCAGTCCTGATCATGGCCACTTCTGTTCTGCTTGTGCTGTACCAGAGCCCCACTGGCTCCTCTCTGGTCACAGCTGGCCCTGTGGGACACACCACCTGCAGACCCCCCAGTGTTCCTGGTGGACCTGGATCTGGTTTTGGATCTGGATCTAGATCTGGATTTGGACCTGGACTGGCAGCCAGCCCAAGGCACCACAGGTCCTGGAGGTGAATCTTGTCCCTTGGTGAGATGTTTTGTGTCCCCCTTGCTGGAGCTGCCTGTCCTCCCCATCCCTTGCCCAGTGATGTTTCATCCCTTGCTCGCTGTCCTGCAGGTTTCTCCTGTGTGTTCCTGAGGATTTATTTTCCCTACTTCAACACACACCACCAAGTTTTGGGAAATAAGGTTCTGGGAAGCTCAGAATCAGTGAGGTACAAGTGGAGGACAAGCAGCTCCCCACCACCTCCCTCCTCAAAACCGAGGTGTGGAGGGCAAAGGGGAGAGCTGGGTAGGGTGGCAGTGCTGGGACATGAAACATCCAGAGGGTGCCTGAGTGATGGTCCAGCAAGAGACATTTATTTCCAGCCTGCCTGCTGCACAGCAACAGGAGACAGGAGCGCCCGGGGCAGTCAGCTGTGTCTGCCTTGGAAAATACATCCCCTTCTGCAGCCTCGGAAATCCATTCTGCCGGCTTTTCCGGCGCCCGCTGCCGCAGCGCACCCCGCAGCCGCTCTGCCCGTCCCTGGGGCTGGCAGCGCCCAGGGCGGGGGTACCTGGGCACTCCCTGCTTCCCACAGCGCTGCCTGTCCCGGCAGCTCCCGGCCCCGCTCCAGCCCGGATCCCTGCGCCGGGCCCGGACCCGCCCGGCTCCTCCCCCGTGCGGCACCGCCGGGGCCCCGCGGCTGAGTCAGCGCCCGGCCC